GTTAGGTGCCATCAAGTCAGTCCCAACTCATAGTTTCTTACTGCGCACAGTCGTGGTTTATACCTGTTGTCCTGGTATAATTATTAACCAACTCTCCTCTCACTCTCAGGATTGTTCCAGTTTAGATAATAAATTATGTGATCTCCCTACCCTTCACCAGGAATGTGCTTTGTATGCTGGAAGAAGAGAAAGGCCAGACTGGCTAATGAGGAGAGGGCAGAGTGGTTGGAAAAGAGCTAACAGAGGAAGGCAGGGGTCAGCTTATGAGGCTTTCAAGGTCAGGGAGGGAGTTTGTCATTTATTCCAGGTGTGATTGGAAGCCATTAGGGTATTTTAAGCCAAAGGATTTTAAGCAGCTTCCAGCTGCTTCTTTTTAAACCAGGGAAACTGGAGGTGTCCCCCGTGCTTTGTGTAGTTTAGCGGTCAGTCAAGGATTTGAGAAGAGCTTGTACTCAGATTTTGGGACTCATCCTCTTGATGCTTCCCTTGCTTCTAAGGCTTCCCCTTGAATTTTCACCTCATCCGCCAACCCTGAGTTCTATCCTCTGATACATTATGTCAATAAGGCTTTAGATTTCTGAGCTGTGATGAGTTGGGGCATTCCTTCAGTCTAGAAAACAGCAAACTCACAAACCTTATCCAGTAGTTTTACCATTTAGTGGGTGTCTTAGGCTAGGATCTCTAGAGAAGTAAAACCAGTAAAGTGTATAAATATATATATCCCATTGGCATTGAGTCAATTCCGACTCATAGCGACCCTATAGGAAAGAGTAGAACTGCCCCGTAGGGTTTCTAAGGAATGGCTGGTGGATTCGAACTACCAGCCTTTTGATTAGCAGTCAAATGCTTAACCACTGTGCTACCAGGGCTCCAAAATATATATAGAGAGATATTTATATCAAGGAAATGGCTCACGCGATTGTAGAGGCTGGAAAATCCCACATCCGTAGGTCAGGCTAGAGGCTTCTCCTGACTCATGTACCTGCAGGGGCTGGCGAACCCAAGATTGGCAGGTCAGTTCCAAGACTGGTAGGCAAGACAGCAGGTAAACTGCTAGCTCAAGTCCCAGGAACCAGAGGTCAGATGAACAGGAGCCAGCTTCAGGATCCAGAGTGAGCAAAAGCACAGGAGCCTAGCCAGAAAGTCCACCTATATTGGATGCAGACCATACCCCCAAGGAAACTCCCTTTCAACTGATTGGCTACTCACAGCAGATCCCATCATGGAGGTGATCACATTATATCAGATCTCATCATGGAAGTTATTACATCATCATATGACTGCCAAACTACATCATAACTGCCAAACCGCTGAGAATCATGGCCCAGCCAAGTTGACACACAACCTTAACAATCACAGTGGGAGATTCCCCTCTTGTTTTTGCCAGCTTTCTTTCTTTCTTTCTTTCTTTCTTTTTTTTAACATGGCTCCGCGGCCTCTTCCGTGTGTGTATTGTAGTGGTCAGCCAGAAATTCAGGCAGAGATGGTGACTTTCTTGCATCCAGAATTCCCACCCCTGAATTTGCAGATTCTCTGCTAGCTCTGAAATATCACCTCTGCCACCTGAAGCCACTGTGGTTTTCACCACTGAAACTCTAGGTGTGGGGAGCACCTTCAGGAAAAAAAAAGTCACAGACTCAATTCTAACCCATTGCTGTTGCCATCTTTCAAGGGTAAACTCTCCTCTAGTTTCTGTCTACATTTGGTTTCTTTCTACTGCATTCAAGTAGTTATATATATATATATATATACTTATATATATAATTATATGTAACTAGATATATATATATATAAAACTACTTGAATGCAGTATATTTCAGATTTTAAAATCAATAGGTGAAGGAAGATGCATCTAAACAATTTACTGTGTTGTTACCAAAAGCTGGAACACTTATTGTTCTTTTAATTTGTGTTTAGATTAACAGTAAATTAAGAAAATTATTAATATTTATTAGCAATTATTCATTTCATGGGTTTTCTGTTCATTTACCCATTTTTATGTTTTTCTCTTATTTGTCTGTAAGAGCTCATTATTTTTTGAAGACAATAAAATATGAACCCGTTGTTGTTGTTGTTAAATGCCATCGAGTTGATTCTGACTCATAGTGACCCTATGTACATCAGAACAAAACACTGCCTGGTCCTGTGCCATCCTCACAACCATTGCTATGTTTGAGCACATTGTTGCAGCCACTGGGTCAATCCATCTCGTTGAGGGTCTTCCTCTTTTTTGCTGGCCCTCTACTTTACCAAGCATGATGTCCTTCTCCAGGAACTGGTCCCTCCTGATAACATGTCCAAAGTACGCGAGATGAAGTCTCGCCATCCTTGCTTCTAAGGAACATTCTAGCTGTACTTCTATCAAGACAGATTTGTTCATTCTTTTGGCAGTCCATGATATATTCAATATGCTTCACCAGCACCATAATTCAAAGGCATCAATTCTTCTTTGATCTTTGTTTTTCATTGTCCAGCTTTTGCATGTGTATGAGGCAATAGAAAATACCATAGCTTGGGTCAGGCACACGTTAGTCCTCAAGGTGACATCTTTGCTTTTTAACACTTTAAAGAGGTCTTTGTAGCCGATTTTCCCAGTGCAATACGTTGTTTGATTTCTTGACTGCTGCTTCCATGGGCATTGATTATGCATCCAAGTAAAATGAAATCCTTGACTTCAATCTTTTCTCTGTTTATCATGATGTTGCTTATTGGTACAGTTGTGAGGATTTTTGTTTTCTTTATGTTGAGGTGTAATCCATACTGAAGGCTGTAGTCTTTGATCTTCATCTATAAGTGCTTCAAGTTCTCTTCACTTTCAGCAAGCAAGGTTGTGTCATCTGCATATAGTAGGTTGTTAATGAACCTTCCTCCAATCCTGATGCCGAGTTCTTCATCATATAATCTGGCTTCTTGGATTATTTTCTCAGCATACAGATTGAATAAATATGGTGAAAGGATACAACCCTGACACACACCTTTCCTGATTTTAAACCACGCGGTATCCCATTGTTCTGGTCTAGGTACAGGTTCCTCATGAGCACAATTGAGTGTTCTTGAATTCCCATTCTTCCCAATGTTATCCATAATTTGTTATGATCCACGTAGTTGAATGCCTTTGCATAGTCAATAAAACACAGGTAAACATCTTTCTGGTGTTCTCTGCTTTCAGCCAGAATCCGTCTGACATCAGCAATGATATCCCTGGTTCCACATCCTCTTCTGAATCTGGCTTGAATTTCTGGCAATTCCCTGTTGATGTATTGCTGCAACCATTTGGAATTATGTTCAGCAAAATTTTACTTGTGTATGATATTAGTGATATTGTTTGATAATTCCTGCATATTGTTGGATCTCCTTTCTTTGGAATGCACATAAATATGGATCTTTTGCAGTCGGTTGACCAGGTAGCTGTCTTCCACATTTCGTGGCATACACGAGTGAGCACCTCCAGTGCTGCATCCATTTGTTGAAGCGTCTCAATTGGTATTCTGCCAATTCCTGGAGCCTCGTTTTTCACCAGTGCCTTCAGTGCAGCTTAGACTTCCTCCTTCAGTACCACCAGTTCTTGATCATATGCTACCTCCTGAAATGGTTGAACATGGACCAATTCTTTTTGGTACAGTGACTCTGTGTATTCCTTCCATCCTCTTTTGATGCTTCCTTCATCATTCAATATTTTGTCCTTAGAATCCTTCAGTATTGCAACTCAAGCCTTGAATTTTTTCTTCAGTTCTTTCAGCTTGAGAAATGCCCAGTGTGTTTTTCCCTTTCGGTTTTCTAACTCCAGATCTTTGTATGTTTCATTAAAATACTTTATTTTGTCTTCTCAAGCCACCCCTTGAAATCTTCTGTTCAGCTTTTTTACTTCATCATTTCTTCCATTCGCTTTAGCTATTCTACGTTCAAGAGCAAGTTTCAGTCTCTTCTGACATCCATTTTGGTCTTTTCTTTCTTTCCTGTCATTTTAATGACCTTTTGCTTTCTACATGTATGACTTCCTTGATGTCATTCCGCAACTGTTCTGGTCTTCAGTCATTAGTGTTCCATGTGTCAAATTTGTTCTTGAGATGGTCTCCAAATTCAAGTGTTATATACTCAAGGTCGTATTTTGGCTCTCGTGGATTTGCTCTAATTTCCGTCAGCTTCAACTTGAGGTTGCATATGAGCAATTGATGGTCTGTTCTGCAGTCAGCCCCTGGCCTTGCTCTGACTGATGATATTAAGCTTCTCCATTGTCTCTTTCCACAGATGTAATCAATTTGATTCCTGTCTATTCTATCTGGCGAGGTCTACATGTATAATCTCCATTTATGTTGGTGAAAAAAGGTATTCGCAAGAAGTCATTGGTCTTGCAAAATTTTATCATGCAGTCTCCAGCGTTGTTCTGTCACCAAGGCCATATTTTTCAACTATTGATTCTTCTTCTTTGTTTCCAGCTTTCACATTCCAAACACCAGTAATTGTCAATGCATCTTGATTGCATGTTTGATCAATTTCACACTGCAGAAGTTGGTAAATATATTCAATCTCTTCATCTTTGATGAACCTATTAGACATATTGTTATTTTGAAGCACAAATGAAATGATATGTGTTAAAATAGAAGTTTCTGGTTTTATGGTGATTATTATTTTGTCCTTTGATGTTCAGCAGGAGAGACAAGATGAGGAACACGTTCTTGCTAGAGATGCCACTGCATGGAGAAGAGGCTTTAGTCTTTTCATAAGCCAAAGGCTTGTGTTCAGCTTGTATGATCTGTGGGGCAGTGTTGGTAGTGACCTTCCTAAGCAAAGCCTTATCAGATATATTATCTCAGTAGTTATGGATCACTATGACATTGGTTTTCAATCATACTCATTTGCCTTACCCACCAGTAACTATTGTTAATAGACTACTGCTTCACTGTATTAGAGGAAATATTGCAAGGTAATTAGTATTTGCTAAGGGCACTGTGGGCCCTCACCAGAACTCTACTCGCTCTTTTCTCCTTTTCTGTCCCCAGGAGTACACCATTGATGTATTCTTTCGACAGACCTGGCATGATGAAAGACTGAAATTTGATGGACCCATGAAGATCCTACCACTCAACAATCTCCTGGCTAGTAAGATCTGGACTCCTGACACCTTCTTCCACAATGGGAAGAAATCAGTGGCCCATAACATGACCACGCCTAACAAGCTGCTTAGACTGGTGGACAATGGGACCCTTCTCTACACAATGAGGTCAGAGAGTGGTGTCCCCATTCAGGAGGGAGGGCAAAGTATACTGGGCGGGGTAGACTTGGGTTGAAAGTGACATGTTTTAGGGAATCCATTGAAATTCTGTCATGTTTGCAGATTAGAAATGTGCCTACAGGTACATACCTCCTAACACATCCAAATGCATACATATTTGTTGTTGTTAGCTGCCGTCGAGTCAGTTCCGACTCATAGAGACCCTGTGTACAACAGAATGAAACACTGTCCAGCCTTGCGCCATCCTCACAGTCATGACTATGTTTGAGTCCATTTTGCAGCCAGTGTGTCAATCCACCTCGTTGAGGGTCTTCCTCATTTTCACTGACCCTCTATTTTAACAAGCATGATATCCTTCTCCAGGGACTGCTCCCTGTTCATAACATGTCCAAAGTGCGTGAGATGAAGTCTCACCATCCTCACTTCTAAGGAGCGTTCTGACTATAATTCCTCCAAGATAGATAGACTCGTTCATTCTTCTGGCAGTCCATGGTATATTCCATATTCTTTGCCAACACCATGCTTCAAAGGCATCAGATCTTCTTAGATCTTCCTTATTCATTGTCTAGCTTTTGCATGCATGTACTGTTGATGTACTGCTGCAACTGTTTTTGAATTATCTTCAGCAAAATTTTAATATACATACTTAGAGACATGTGTTATAGATGCATATATAAACAGAGTTGCATATCTGTACATTCAGAGACACACAGTGATATGTATATATACATGTTCATGATGTTTAAATGTATGCATTCTGGAATATACACATGGACTAACACAGAATCATCTACATATTCAAGGACACTTAAATCCACAAACTCACAAAAACACGTACACAAACCTGAATACTGTGTCAGTCAAAATAGGCTAGGTTTAACTGCAACAACAAACAACTCCTATGATACAGAGTTGTGAGGATTGAATAGATAGTTTCTGAAACATACAGTGATACATACACATACACACACACATATAATTATAGCAACATATATGTTATGCTATTTTACCTGGGGATGTTGAAGAGTTTAATATAAGTTTACACCAAATATATACATTTCAGTACCAAGATACATATACTGTAATCTTCATGAAATATAAAATATATTTCATACTTTACTACCTCTGAAGGCGTAAAATCCAAAATAATTTTATATGTTTTTTATGACTGATTATTATCATTTGTGTCTTAGTCATCTAGTGCTGCTATAAAAGAAATATCACAAGTGGTTGGCTTTAACGAACAGGAATTTATTCTTTCATAGTCGAGGAGGCTAAAAGTCTGAATTCAGAGTGCCAGCTCTAAGTGAAGGCTTTTTCTCTTTGTTGGCTCTGGGGAAGGTTATCAATCTTCCCTGGTCGAGGAGATTCTCAGCACAGGGACCCCAACTCCAAGGACGCACTATTCTCCTGGCTCTAGTTTCTTGGTGGTATGAGGTACCCCTGTCTCTATGCTTGCTTCTCTCTTTCATATCTGAAAAAAGATTGGCTAAAGACACAATCCAATCTTGTAGATTGAGTCCTGCCTCATCAGCATGACTGCCGCTAATTCCATCTCATCAACATTGTAAAGATAGAATTTACAACACATAGGAAAATCTCATCAGATGATAAAATGGTGGACAATCACACAATACTGGGAATCATGGCCCAGCCAAGTTGACACACATTTTGGGGGGACAGAATTCAATCCATGACAATTATAATTATTAAGTATTGAATTTTGCTGTTAAAAAGAATAGTTTGAAAGTATTTGCAATGCAATTAGATTCTTTGCCCCAACACTAGAAGACTCTTGGTTCTTTTGTTTGCTTTTTATGCTTATACTGGCTCCTCTGTTGTCAGTTGTTACTTTCTGAAGCTCCCTTTCACATTAATGAATGTCAATTTTGTCTGAGTGGACATTTATTGAATGGATAATTGAGATCCTTCAGTGCAGATTCTATGACTATTTCAAATTTGTGTACTTGTTATTTGAAGAATGAAATTCAAATAATACAAGCTTGGTAAATATGTGGTGAATAAATGTAGTGTGCTTGCCTGTATACTGTTGTTGCTGTTGAATCTGCTCTGACTCATGGTAACCTGATGTATAACAGAACAAAACTTTGTTCAGCTCTGTGCCATCTTCATGATCATTGATGTATTTGAATCCAGCCAATATGCTAGTCTCTCATTACTTCAAATTTGTTATTTCTGATGTGTTTCCTGCAAGAATTCGGGAGAACAGAAGGTGGCCAAGAAAAGGATGGATAGCAAATGGATATGTAAGAGAAAAGCTGGATGAGAGAGAAGTTGCTGAGAAACTAGAGAAGTAGAGAATAGAGTAGAGGAGAGAATGATGGAGAAAAGAGGGAAAGTGGATAGAAGTGAGAAGAAGATGATCTAGAGGGAAGGGAGGAATCATCTGAAGAAGAGGTCAATAAAATTAAAATAATATCTCTCTGTGTGTATATATAGATAATAGGTAATCTATCAGGGAGAATTAGCTGGTTGGCTGGAGAAAAAAAAGAGAATATGAGAGGAGAGAAAAGAGTAGACAAGGTGAGACGATAAAAGAGCAGACTGAATGAAATAAAGAAGCTAGATATTAGGGTATCCTAAAAAGACAGGAGAAATTGGAGAAGAGGATGTCACAGATGGGAAGAAAGAAGAGAAGACATAGAGAAGTTGGGGAAGGGGCAGTGGAAAAGATGAACAAGAGAGGGAAATTGTGGATGGCAGAAAGATAAGTACTCATACATTCATTTATTCATTTACCTTTTTTTTCACTTCCTAATACATACATGGCTTGGTACTAGGCTCTGGGGATGCAAACCTTAATAAGACATGCTCTTTGTCCTTAAGGTGAGGTCATCACAATATAATAGGGAAGAAAGACTAACAGATAATTACAAAAAATAATAAGTGAAATGCTAAAGATATAGATAATTATGGGAGGATAAAGGAGGGACATCTAACCCATTCTCTTGGGTCAAGTTGAGCAAAGAGTCCCTGGGTGAGGTAACCACCTAAGCTGCTGACTATTATTATCAGCATTAGTTTTTATATTATTAGATAAGTAGGATTTAGCCAAGCAAATTGTAGGTGGGGAGTGGGAAAAGAGGAGGGACATTCTAGACAGAGAAAACCAAGTGAGCAGTTTCAAGAAATGTAATGGTACATGGGAGTAAACTTTAGACAAGTCGGTGTTGGAATATAGCACAAAGGAGGATATAGGAAGAGATGTGAATGTGGGGGAAGGCAGGCCCAACTCATGAAAGACACTGTATGCCACACTAAAGAACTTGAGCATCATTCTGGAAGTGGAAGGTTTTAAGCAAGAGAATGAAGTGGTCAGTTTTCTAATTATATATAACACTATTTACTGTGTAAAGAATGCATTTGAGGAAAACAAGGCTGGAATTAGGGAAACTGGTTAGGAGACAGCTGAAGTAGTCTAGGTGAAAAATGATGAAGTTCTAATTCAGAGCAGCGAATGAAGGTAGAGAAAGGGAGATACATTGAGGAAACAGGTAGTTAAATAGATTTGAGTTTTGGAGGAGAGATAGAGAAGAGAGAAGAAAGGAGAGGATGCAAGTATAGGAGAGCAGAGGATGAAGCAGAACAAAGGATTAAAAAAAAAACCAACCCGTTGCCATCGAGTTGCTTCCGACTCATAGCGACCCTATAGGACAGAGTAGAACTATCCCATAGAGTTTCTAAGGAGAACCTGGTGGATTCGAACTTCCGACCTTTTGGTAGCTCTTAACCACTACGCCACCAGGGTTTCTGAACAAAGGATTAATCACCTGAAAATAGAACTGGAATAATGGGAAGAAATGTCCACTGACCCCCTCATTCCGGTCTGAAGAGGACAAGAATGTGAAGTTTGATGAGATAGGAGTCTATGGGAGATGTCCTCGGGCTTATTTGGAAGTTCAGACAAGAGGAGGTACCCTAGCACAGAAGATAGTGAAACCACTGATTCTCCTCTATAGCAGATGCTTCATCTTAGACCCAAGGAGGTAGATCTGGAGAGAGGACTAAGCTCAAACCTGAAAGATAAAAACTTAGTTCTATTTATGGCCGCACAATTGATTCATCTAGTGACCTTTTGCAAGTCACAAACTGTCTCCTTTCCCCAGTTCCTCATTCTGGTAATAATGTAGCTGCTGCCTGTCTTGCAGGCACAACAAAAGCGCAAATTGGATAAAGTCTGCAGAACGCTTACAACTTTTCAGAAACTGCTATTCTGCAACATCCCTATTATTATTTTGACCTTCAGATATTTTGTCTGGATTCCATGAAAACACTACAGAAGGACATCTTCCTAGTAAAAAATCTGACCAAGGGTTGTGTTACTGTGTAACTAGGGCAGTTTAGAAAGAAGTCCTGGCTTGCCTGAGGACAACTATAAAAATGCAAGCCAAGGCCCATTACCTGTTGCTTGCTTCAGCAGCACACGCACTGAAGTTGGCAGAAGACAAAGACTAACATAGCTCCAGCACAAGATGACACACAAACATTTATGATGTATTTCCCAGTTTTCAAATATGGATAAATAGGCAACTTCATCACTATTAATACCATTTTATTTATATATTGTTTGCTTTAGATGAAGGTTTATAGAGCAAATTAGTTTGTCATTAAACAATACACATATTGTTTTGTGACATTTGTTGCCAGCTGATGATGTGTCAACACTCTGCCCTTCTTGACCCTGGGTTCCCCATTACCAGATTTTCTGTCCCCTCCTGTCTTCTCATCCTTGCCCCTGGGCTGGTGTTCCCATTTAGTCTCCTTTTGTTTTATGGGCCTGTCTAATCTTTGCCTGAAGGGTGAACCTCAGGAGTGACTTCAGTACTGTGTTTAAAAGGGTGTCTGGGGGCCCTACTCTGGGGGTTTCTCCAATCTCTGTCAGACCAGCAAGTCTGGTCTTTTTTTCTTTTTCTGTGAGTTAGGATTTTCTTCTACATTTTTCTCCAGCTCTGTCTGGGACCCTCTAA